AGATAAGAGAGGAGACAGAAATGGAAAAACAAAGGCTTTAACAGAGAAGAGGAAGGGCAAGCATTCAGCCCAGTGGTTAGGATGCCACTGGGCCACCTACATTCCACATCAGGGTGCCCGGCTCAGGCCCAGGCCCAGGCTCTGCTCCTGACACCAGCCTCCATCATCATGCACTGGGAGGCAGCAGGTGATAGCTCATTTGGGTCAGACACACACACAGGAGACCTGAGTCCCAGCTTCCGCCTGGCCCAGCCCCAGCTACTGGGGCACTTGGGGAGTGCACCAGCAGATGGGAGTTCTTTGTGTGCCGGTCTCTCTCTCCCTCTGCCTCCGAAATAAACTTTTAAAACTTTATTTAGAAAGAGAGAAAAGGAAAAAGGAGTGGGTGAAAGTAAAACTGACAAAGAAAGTACCTGGCTTTCTACTTCATTAAACTCCATAATTATGCTCAAATCTATTTTTTCTGATAGTCAAGTGCTCACTCCAAAGAACAGTGATGCCTAGGATTTTTCCCAAAAAGGTACTGGTTACTGTTGACTGAACAACTGAACTGGCCCATAAAGACCCAGTTTAACCCACAACATAGCAAATTATACAATAGCACTGGTCCGTATTCTAGAAGCACAGAGCTATATGTACACAAATTATTTTCTTCTTGTTTTATAAAACAAGCTTCCAGTATTTCTAAAGCTATCGATCAATGGCCCTCTGTAAGAACAAACATCAGAAACTTGGGGTTGAGTCAGAGACTTGAGTTTCTGAAAAACTATCTAAGTGTTCTAGGTACGCAGCCAGGAGTGAGGAAGCTGCTGCTACAGTCCTGAATGTGTCTCACTTGACAGAGCCTGCCTGGTTCTGGGGGAGGGGAGTGTCACTGGACCCAGATATGCCATCAAAAGAGGCCTTACTAAATTAGAGATGCTGTTTATTTATTTATTTTTTTAAAAAAATACCCTTTTTATTGTTTTTATTTTTAAGTTATTTGAGAGATAGAGATCTTCCACCCACTGATTTCACTATCCAAATGCCACAAGAGCCAGGGCTGGGCTAGGCTGAAGCCAGGAGTTGGGAGCCAGGAACTCAATCTAGGTCTCCCATGTGGGTAGCAGGGACCAGCTACTTGAGTCTTCACCTGCTATCTCTCAGCGTGCACATTAGCAGGAAGCTGGAATGGAAGCAGAGCCTGGGACTCGAACGCAGGCATTCCAATATGGGATGCAGCAGCCCGAGCAGCATTTCAGATGCCATACTCGCACCTCAGGGTACGGGGACATAAGAGGTCTGACGGCTGAGCAAAGATGATGTACACAGCTGGAGGCTTTGCCACAAAACTGCAGAACCGTTTCATGTGAGAGGTTTGGCCAGGTCTACAGACAAACGCAAGGTAGCAGGTGCCATGAGATGAGCAACACCGAGGTTTAAGTGCCAGTTCTGCAATTTATTAGGGTGTGGGCCTGGGAGAGTTTATGTAACCTGCAAACTGGGGTTAATAGCCCATCCATCACCGAGCTAAATACGAATGATTAAAATGTTCAGAAAGCTCTGGGAACAACATGTGATACATACTCTTACAGAGAGAGCAGAACATCCCTCAAGAGGACACTGAAAATCTCTGACCACCTCTACAACTCTGACTCCTTGACAGTCAGCTAGACAGCTAAACCAGGGCAAAGAGCAAGTAGGGCAAAGGAAGAGATGGGTCTCTCCCTCAGGGTCTCTATCCTTGTGTCTCCCTAGCCAGAAAGAGCTCAAACAAAAGAACTTATCAAAACAAAGGGACACAGAGCTCTTCATGATCTGAACTTTCCTTCATAAAAGGTTAGGAACCCACTTTTAACATCATGCTCCTGAATGAGCACTGGTTCTAGAAGTGCTTAAACTATTCCGTTCCCCCTCTGAAGCACCCAAGGGTCTCTAAGTCAATGTTAGAAGACTAACAGGGGGCCGGTGCTGTGGCATAGTGGGCTAAGCTTCCGCCTATAGCACCAGCATCCTATGCAGGCGCTGGTTCGAGTCCCGGCTGCTCCACTTGCAATCCAGCTCTTGGCTGTGGCCTGGGAAAGCAGTGCAAATGGCCCAGGTCCTTGGGCCCCTGCACCCTACAGAGAGACCCGGAGGAGGCTCCTGACAATTCATTTCCGACCACTGCAACCATTTGGGGAATGAACCAGCAGACGGAAGACCTCTCTCTCTCTGCCTCTGCCTCTCTGTATTTCTGCCTTCTAAATAAATAAACACATCTTTATTTAAAAAAAAAAAAAAAAGGAAGACTAACAGAGGAATATGTGCCACGTCATGTGGTTTTCTATAAGGCATGTGTCTCCCACCCAAGGTTTCTCTGCTGTACAGATCAGCCACACCACACATCAGGCACTGTTCAAAGGACTCTGCATCCATCAACTCAGCTAAAGCTCACCATGACCCTTTAAGCGGGTACTATGGTCACCATTCCCACCAAAAAGAAGAGGAAACTCAAGTGCAGAGAGTTCAGGTAATCTGCAGTGGTCAGACCACTTGCAGGAGGCTGAGCGGGGATTCGAACCAAGGCAGTCTGGCTCCTGAGTCTCCGGTCCCGGCCCCTCGGATGGGGTTCACTACCACTGCCTTGCAGCATCACAGGTGAGGCTCAGTTTCAAAGCACTTTACTTCTGCGTTCTCCATGTGTCTGGCACACCAGGTTTCATTTATGCTCCCGACAACCCTGAAAGCAGACAGCATCTACATCTAAGGACAAAAAGCAAGTGGCATCAGTGAAATGTTTTACAAACTCCCAGATGGTAAGCCAAACAATTAATGTCATGGCTTTTACACTAAAATGGATGTCTTTTGCATTCTGGGTGTTTTAGTTTTTGTGACTACCTTCCCAGCACCAACAACACATCCAGAGATCTCAAGAGTCCAGAGCAGGCCTGACTCCCAGACAAGGCTTGCTCAGTGACTCGTGCTCACAGACATGGCGCCCACACGGCTTTCAGCGGACGAGAAATCCAGCCAAGTGAGCAATATCTGTAGAAAATGCCATAAGCGCGTCCATGTGCTATATTAGAATGATTAGGTTATCATAGAACATATGAAGCAAAGCACTTCAAAGACAATCTAATTGATCTAATCACAAAATACAGCAGTAAAGACATTTTTCTTCTGTGCCTATCAATGTCTCTTCAGCTCCTACTGGACTTATGAATCTGACCATCTCAGGAGTAGACGGCAGCCCACAGGGGAGCTGCTTTTGTTAGAGGAGCTGTGACTCTGCAGGGGACCATCAGAAAGCTCACTGCTCACAAGAGTGGAGCCAACAGTCTGGGCCCTCTGCAGCCCTGCGACTCTGTACCGTGGACATGGAGTCACACGCCGTTCCTTCGGGGCAGGAAGGACAAGGTACCAAAGGAACAATTGTGGGACACATCTGAGGTGGAACAAGTCAAAAGATCTGGAAAATATTCCTGTACAACTGTGAAAAGCACTATTATAAAAAAAAAAATCACCTTAAAATTCAAGGTTCGGCAAGTTTCTCTCAAGTATAGGGACATTTGTAAACACAGGGTCTTGGCTATCATAGGATGCTTTATCTATCTGTATTTCTCACCTCTGATATTTTGCAATGCTATGGAAAGATACTGAATAGGACAAAGGCACCTTTCCAGGTATAAGAGGCACAAACAAGCTTGTGAGCCTGAACAAGCATTCATGAGAGTTCCACTAGCCAATGAACAGCTCACCACGACTAATTTTAATCTGTGGTTCTAATGAATGATATAAACTTTTATAGGTATCAACAAAGCTCAGAGAGGACTTAAATCCATTCCAGTGCTCATTTAGCAGTTTCAGCTGTGTGCAATTAAAACATCAGCATTAAATGCTAGAGAATAAAATAATGAGACACTTAAAAAATAATCTGCTTCAGCGGGCCATGTTAAGAGATTCCACATGATTTTTTTCAAGATCTTGATTTCTTAGGAATATTTTGCCAGTTCAAAGAATTAAGTTTTATTTTTATTTTTTGATTTTGGTTTGCTTTCTGAAAAGAATAATACAATAAAAATTGCATAGTTTGAAAACCAGTCATGAAATAGCACATGGTGTAAATCAGTTGGTATACAGACAATCAGAGCTGACTGACCAGGCTTCAGCAGAGATACAAGTATTCTTTGGTCATGATGTAAATGTTACTTATTCTTATGCCTCAAATGAAGAAATAAAATATTAAAGGGGAAGGGAATGAATTTTGGTAATGAGACAACTTTATTCTTCTAGCCCTTGAAAGAAATTAAAAGTCTGAACATTTTTCCTTAATCACATTTGAGAATATAAAATACAATCTGGGAATGCAAGACTGTGGCAGCTAAGATGAATGAAATCAAGTTGCTACTATGAGGAAATTTCAGAAAGTTTCGAAAAATGGAAATTTTAAAGTTTATTTTGGTGCAAAAATTTTGGTGAAAAATTTGAAATCCATGCATAGTTTTTACATAATACATATTTTCCATGGACCTTTTAAAAAGTCCTCGTATACATGGATTTCAAAAAGTTTTTACACCCAAACAACTTAACTCCATTTTCCACAAACTTTTTTAACCACCCTTGTATTTCCAACAGAAAGACAAGTTGCTGTACAAAGACAGTGCTCTACAAAGACGATGGGTGGGTGTGTGTGTGTGTGTGTAAGAGAGGAGAGATTATGGGGATCCTGGGTGTGTGTGAGTTCTATATAAACAAGTTCATTCAGCTTCTACAAAACATGAATAAAAAGGAAATATATTGTATGGGGAAATGCATTCATTAAACTTAAATTTTAAAAGGATGAAAACACAGATTACACTTTATTTTTAAAACTGAAATGAATTTTAATACAGAAAATGAAGACAGCATTTTGCAAATTTATCACTCAAAGGGGTATCTCTATTTGAGGAAATCAGCGTGTTACACTTTGAGAGATGAAATGTTACAGCTTGTACACCAAAATTAAAAAATGAAATTAAATTAAAAAATGAAATGGTTACCAAGGTAATGCAGGTCAGGGGATCAAAGGTGAAGGGTCACACATTATTAAAAAGAAATCCAAAAGGACGGCTGCATCATGATCTCTGCAAAACAAAGGAGCTCCAGTGAGTACAACTGACATCTCCGAGAATGTCAAATCAGCTCTTGAAAAGAAGAACCCACGCAATTGAACACAGCATTCCTGGTTCCGTGTGGAACCATTTCTATTTAGGTACAAATCTACATTTTAATTACCTGTTACCAAGAAAATTTTTCTAAAAATTTAACCATTCAACCATATTAAAACTCAAAATATCTCCAATTGAAAGTGATTAGGAAGTACTGGTTTTTCAATTGGACCCCACACCATACATTCTGGAAATGACAGTGTTTGATAAGTTGCCAACATATCAGAAATCTAATTTGGTCACAGCATGGTGAGTTTTTTTTCCCTCTCCTCAAGGAATGAGTTCCAAAATTGAGTTTTTGCAAATTTGTTTCATTTGAAGTAGCTGCATAAAATTTCCATTATTGGAACATTTAGTATAACAATGTTCTAGAAGACAGCAATAAAGTGATACATGATAAAATAAACTGTGTAACTATCTATTAGGCTCTGTTCGCACATTCAACTCTCACTGCACAGGGGAAAAAGACATTTAAAGCAAAGTAACCTGCTAGTTCTACTGGAATCACAGAGTTAACAGAAGCTTAACAAAGAATATCTACGGGGGGGGGGGGGGGGAGTATCTCACAGGCTTCATTTCTTCAACAAATATTACTATTTACTCACTTTCCCTATAAACAAACTAGAGTAATTCACATTTTTACAAAGAACGGAAAGAGCTGAGGCTTTGTTTGGAAACATGTAGCTACCACTTAAATTATGACAAACTTATTCAACTTTGCATTATAGTTAAGTACAACTAATAGTTACAGCAAATAATTCTATATTCATTTCGCTAATGAATAAAATGAATAGTATCATAATATAATCACGTTTGGCATCTCCTCTCGGAAAACAAAGCTTGAGCAGCTACGTTCCCAACTTTTGGGGCCCAAATTCCTTAATGCTTACTGGACAGCATATTCTAAAAAGCAATGTGAAAGATAACTGCCACAGATGACCATAACTGGGAGCATAACTAGCGACAGAAGAACTAGGTTGAGTTACCATTCTTAAGACAGCCCCTATCTGCTATTTCTCCTTCCATTCTCTGAGCTCAGTTCTGCCCCACAACAGCTAACATTTAGATAATCTTGTTAAAATCAAATTCCAGAAATACTTGTACACTACAGACAACTGCCCAAAAGCATTTTATTAAAAGGAACAGACTATTTGTTCTCATGGCTTATGGCAATCAATCAATAAACAGACTCCAGGATGCCAGACTGCTGCTCCTCTTCCTAGGCTTTGTCAACACCCTGCAGAGCAGAGCCTCATGCCCCCACACCAGCGCATGAGTACCCGAGGCCACGGTCCTACACTGCACAGCTACTGAAAAGTAAACCAGCATCTCATTTCTCTGGATTGCTCATCTCACATAAAGTCCGTCACACATGTGTTCATTGCTGGGAGGCATGCAAGCAATTCTGCACACTACAGAAGCAATCAATACCTCATCAAAACAATGCAGCATACGTTGTTTTAGTAGCATCATTATTTAGATCACTTCAGCATGTTTGTAAGAACAAACACCAAGAAGTCAGCAGTGTAATGTGTCGTTTTATTTTTCTAAAATATTTTCTATTAAAAAGGAGAAAAAGCATGCCTAAATTGTTATCTGATCCATACACATTTTGGTAATGAAGGGGGTACATTTCAGATCAAATGTACCCCCTTCATTACCAAAATGTGTATGGATCAGATAACAATTTTAATAATAAAATGATAAAGAACTTACACAAGGGGGCTTCAAATGGTTTGTGGAAAATGGAATTATAAGATTTATTTTGGTGCAAAACATTTTTTCCATAATACATTTTCTGTGACCTTTTTGAAGACCCCTCACAAATGCTTTTTAAAAGTCTTGTAAATCATTTTTAAAATTCAGCAACTCTCAAAAACCATTAGCCCAAATTTTCTACCAGCTTAGTCCCTGCCCAGCGTTTCAGACCCCAGGACCCCAGGACATGGTGTACCCTGCATGTGGCCAGGGACTGCTCTTCCAACCAAGTTCTCACACATCACTCCACGAGCGTAATGTCCATCTCCTTACCTAATTTCTTATATATGACAAATCTGCTACGGATGAAAACATGCCAACAAATGATAACACACATAATCCCAAAAACATCTGTGAAGTATTTTAACTTAATACTTTCTACAATGAGTCTGCTGCTGGGGGAGGGGGGTACAGACCACTAGGGGTTTCCCCTGGTCCCCAGGGCCAGGGGTCCTGGAAAGGAAGAAAGCTGGAAGCCATCAAGGCACAGTGCACCCCTGGAGAGCAACTGACTTCACTCCAACCACAGAACGAGCTGAGTCTCTGGACACAACTGTCTCCTGAGACAGGTCCATAGTCCACATCCATTTTCCCATAGAAACAATGCCACAAGCAGCATTTATAGCTAACATCTGCCTATTTATCTCAAAAGCATTAGTGTCGCTTCCACTCTTGACTTCTTAGGGTTTACTACTGGATTTCTTTTTTTGTTGTTGTTGTTGTGTTTTTGTTTTTGTTTTGTTTTTTGGACAGGCAGAATGGACAGTGAGAGAGAGAGACAGAGAGAAAGGTCTTCCTTTTTGCCGTTGGTTCACCCTCCAATGGCCGCCGCGGCCGGCGCGCTGCGGCCAGCGCACCGCGCTGATCCGATGGCAGGAGCCAGGTGCTTCTCCTGGTCTCCCTGCGGTGCAGGGCCCAAGAACTTGGGCCATCCTCCACTGCATTCCCAGGGCAACAGCAGAGAGCTGGCCTGGAAGAGGGGCAACCAGGACAGAATCTGGTGCCCCGACCAGGACTAGAACCCGGTGTGCCGGCGCCGCAAGGCAGAAGATTAGCCTAGTGAGCCGCAGCGCCGGCTTACTACTGGATTTCAATAGCTTTCCTCTGCCCCAAGGCCTGGCCCAAGGTGAAACTTTGGTTCCTCTCTCAAAGCTCCTACCTATTGGCCAAAATCCCAGGCCTCAGACAGCAGTGCCTCCAGATCCAAAATTGCCCATCTTCTTCTCCCTCAGAAGCCTCCACCTCCTCCCGTGAGGCCCACAGGCAGCTACTGATGGACACACCGGTGTATGGACAGGCTGAGGGCTCTCCATTATCCCGACAGATCCTCAAGACACACAAGTGCAGGAGAAGGCCAGTCAGCCCTAGGTAGACTTGTTGAAAGCACATTTTGTTTCTTTATGTAACTAACTATATCGAAAAGAAAACGTTCAAAAATCCCAGTCAATCCCAGAACCTGAAGGTGCAAGGACAGCTGACAAGCTACCTCTAACTCTGGGAAACCAGGCTGCCACACTGCGAGTTATGTGACTGAAGGGGCACATCAAGTGTCACCCTCGCGAGGAGTGCTCCTACAGGGATATTCTCACCCAGGTGAGCTCCATCTGGCCATTTTATATTGTTGTACCTTCCAATCAACTCAACTGGTACTCTATTTAAAATCTTTTTTTCTTTGCGATGGGGGAGGGCTGGGGTGGGAGGTAGACACTGGCTAATGCCACTCAGGACCCCCCCATTCCATGTCACAACAACTGGGTTCCAGTCCCCAGTGAGGCAGCAGGGACAGCTTCGGTTTGCTGGGTTCCTGCCACCTACCTGAGGGCGTTGGATCAAGTTCCCAGCTTCTGGCTTCAGCCTAGCCCCGGCCCAGCCACCACAGGCGTTTGGGGAGTACACTACCAGATGGCAGATTTCTCTTTTTCTCTCTCTCAAATAACTAAAATAAATAAAAAATGTTTTATCTTTTTTTTTTTGGGGGGGGGTAAGGAGCAGCATTTGCAAGCACAGGTAATTGTTTAATGTCTCACAGAAAAGAAGACCATCATTTCAATAAGGTTAAATTATGACAGAAATACAGCCATTCTCACCTCAAGCATATTACTTTGGAAAAAAAAGTACATAGAAGAACTGGACAGAAATGAATAAAGAGCCAAGAAAATGCAAAGAGTCTGAGAAGCTAAAAGGAGATCGTTCAAGAAATCCATTAAAACAGAATGCTATACATTTTACTAATTCTTTACAAAATGTCTATTAACAACATTACATAATGCTTCTGCAGCAGACACTAACCTCAGCAAATGTATTCTACAATTAAAAAGAAATGCCCAGCCAAAAGCTGATTATAGTGATGGGGCAAAATTTATTATTTTTAATCTATAAATGTAAATAAATAAACCACCAGCATACTATTCAATAAAACAGACAATTCACTAGAATGAACTGCACTTGAGCTAAGATTAGCCTTCAGTTAAGCAGGGATTATGCTGCTATTACTCCATTTCCTGTTAGAATCCACGTTAGTTCATGGCAGCAATGCCATCTATTAGAGAGAGAAGCACTTGGTTCTCCTGTCTGTGACTCACTCAGCGCGGGTGCAGGAGGCACCCTGCCCTCCTCTCCCCATCTCCACCACTCAGCCTTTCTGAAAACGTCATTTCTTGTCTACTTTTTCAAGATGATCTGTTCTAAGATAATGTCTGCTCCTCTAAAGTTGTAAAGAATACATCAAAGAATACATCTCTGGCAAGCCACCAAGACAACAAGGGCATGCATCTGGCCCAGTCGTTAGGATGTCCACAGCCTCTGGAGGACCCAGCTCCACCCCCGGTTCCATGCTTCCTGCTGATGCACACCCTGGGAGGCAGCAGACCAACCACTCAAGTTGTTGCATCCTGCTACCTATACGGGAGACCTGGATTGAGTTACCAGCTCCTGGCTTTAGCCAGACCCACTCCTGACCACTCAGGCGTCTCGGGAGTGAGCAGCAGAAGGCGGCACTCTGTGTGCGTGTCTGTCTCCTTCAATAATGAATGAAAGAAGGAAGACAAGGATGGTTAGGCACTCATGTCTCATGCCGGAGTTCCCAGGTTCAATCCCAGCTTCAGCTCCTGACTCCAGCTTCCTGCTAACGCAGACCCTGGGAGGCAGCAGTGACGGCT